CTCAAAAAAAAAAAAAAGTACTGAGTGATCTCTCACAGAACCAAAGATCTGAGTATCACATGTTCTCACTCATATAGTGGACCTTGAACATCTATGATAATACTATAAGAAAAAGACTGACAGTGGTGGGAAACTATGGGGGGGATAGGGAGGGGAAGGGAGGTGGGACTAACGGTAGTCAATATCTGTCTAGGAACGGGGAGACACCCCTTATTAACAAGGGTGGCTGAACGATGCACATTTGTATACCAAACCCTTAACTGTACCCCACAATTTTATAATAAAAAATATGTTTTTAAAAAAGAACGTATTTTTATTTATTTGTTTGTTTGTTTGTTTTTGAGTCAGAGTCTCACTCTGTCACCCAGGCTGGAGTGCAGTGGCATGATCATGGCCACCACAGCCTCCATCTGGTGGGCTCAAACAATCCTTCTACCCCAGCCTTCCAAGCAGCTGAAACCACAGGCAACCGCCACCATGCTAGGCTAATTTTCTGATTTGTTGCAGAAACGAGGTCTTGCCAAGTTGCCCAAGCTGGTCTCAAACCCCTGGACTCAAGCAATCCTCTCACCTCTGCCTCCCAAAATGCTGGGTTTACAGGCGTGAGCCACCGCGCCCGGCTGAAAGTATTTTTATAATCATAAAAAAAATAGATAATCTGATACAACTCTCTCATCTAAAGGGTTGGGCATGGTGACTCCTGCCTATAATTCTAGCACTTTGGGAGCCCACAGCTGTCAGCGTGGGAACTTGGCAAGACCTCATCTCTTAAAAAATAAATTAGCTGGGTGTTGACGCGCTCCCCTGTGGTTCCAGCTACTTGGAAGACTGAGGTGGAAGGATCACCTGAATCCAGCAGATCGAGGCTGAAGTGGCTGTGAGTGTGTCACTGACCTCTAGCCTGGGCAACAGAGTGAGACTCCAACTCAAAACGCGGGTTCGAGACCCGCTGGGCAACTTGGCAAGACCTCATCTCTACAATAAATCAAAAATGAGCCGGGCATGGTAG